AGTCGTCATCCTCAAAGTCACTACTATCTGCTACATTCTCTGTCTCTGCTTTGAGTGGCTGGTTGAAGATGCTGTAGATCTCGTCGGTAGCAGCGCGAGTATGGATTGTCATTGTCGGCTCAGCCGTGCTCTTGCGCCGAATCTTGCCTCCTGTCGGAGAGTCGAACTTCATTTTGACTGGACAGTTTGTCGACGGTTAGTGAGGAATTCAAAATTGGGAAGTGAGAATGCAGTCAGAAGATGTTGCTTACTTGTTTGTGTCTCGCCTTTGACTTCGCGTAGTTTTATTTTCCGTGCTTTGCCAGCTTTGCTCTCATTCAATCCATCTTCAATCGCCCGCTGCGTCCCTTGTGAGCCTGCATCTTTCACTTTCAATTTTTGACTAAACTGCTCTGACAACCCCTGGTCCGGACTTTGCTCAATCACATTCCCCACCGGTGGCTCTGAACCAGCGATATTGCCGGATATCTCCCTAAAAGGCGCCTTGTGCGAGCGCCAGTCTTTGTCCATCCATCCACGGTGCATGGCACGGAGTTCTTCAAAGCTGATCTCTTTGGTTGGATCCCTATAATCAGGATATACTGCCTCAAGATTGACGAAAACGCGCTCTCGTCGTCCGGTTCGAGGATTTACCGCTTCCCTTACATGATGATCTGGAAGTTGTTTTGCTTGGATCGTTTCTGCGACAGATAGATTTGGATTTGACTGAATACATGAAAACGTAAACCGAGAGTCGGTACATGCCACCAATTAGTCCTGTGATCGTAAATATATGGAATTTCAAGAAAGGGTGACAGAACAGTGAACATGGACTCACCTCATCCCTGAAGATCGGCATCTTCTCCTTCGGAGCAGCCTTCTTTCCCGCCTTCAAGGTCTCCCCGGCCCACGGCTTCGCCTCCACACTGTTCTCCTTACGTCTCTCGTGCATCGACCCAATGCTATCCCATCCCTTGGTCTGTCCTGATACAGCGGGCTGGCTTGCTGCCGAGTCAGCGTCCGAAAAAATAGCCATCTTGGGCTTCCCAGACTTCGTCCGCGGGGCAGCCGCAGCGGCAGGAGCGGGTCGTTGAGCTTGCGGATCGGCAGCCGGAGCTGCTGCAGACAGAGAAAACGGATCGACCTTGGCAGCCAGTGCTGGTCGCACCGCGGGCAAAGCGGGTGATGATGGTCCATTGTCCTGTGTGCGCTGCTCGTAGCGCTTCTGGAACTCACTGTATTTTCGGATCAATCGTTCAGTTGGTCGAGCTTCACGGTCAACCCCCAGTCTATACACTTCCTCAGCTTGCGTCCAGCGTCCAGCGCCTTCAAGCCAAGCGGCGAACTCTTCATAAAAAAGCGCTAGCCCTTCACCGATATGGTGACGCGCCAGAAACGCAAAAGTCTCGCGTGGAGAGTCTGAAAAGAGCCTAATGTAGTGAAGCCATAGCCGGAGATAACGGGGATCATTCTTGTAGTGGGCCGAGGAGAGGAATGCCCTGACGGCGCGTTCAAGTAGAGGAAGAAGACCGGACTCGGCGGTGGCTTGTGTAGAGGGGTACGCGTTCAGTGTCCATTTCACGTAGCGGTCATATATATCAAGCGGGTCATCTGAGTCGTCAATAGCCTGCAGTTCTGCCTCATACTCCTGTCGAATAGCATCATTCAAGGTCCTGGTTTCGTTTGGTGATGGAGCCGCGAGTTTGTCACTAGGGTCTCTGGGTGAGAAGATGCGAGCAAGCTCCTTGGCTGAGCGTCCCCCTGGCAATGATTGAATGTTCTCCTTCTGATTCTCGATGATATCAAAATTGATGAGATCCTCGGAGGCCGCCATGGCGGCGACAGATAAACAAGCGTGCGGTCCAAAGGGATTGGTCTGGTGTGAGTCGTGGAATTATTCGTCGAGGGCACGGTATGTCAATCGCAGTTCGGGTACGTCAGATTGAGGATTGAGGAAGTCGAGAAGTTGTCAATTGATGGATTGTTGAACAAGGTCGAGATAAAAAGTAGAGGTCGAGAACACCGCAAGTTTCCGTTTATCGATAAACAGCCCCTTTCGGTTGCCCTGGCTACTGATCACGTGTACGCTATCCTCTACTTGGTAATATTCGAAGGCCGGCCTCGCCTGTGGGAAGCTGCAGATTTACTAGACGAAGTCTCAGATGAAATAATGAAGGACGTATGATGTTCGTGCTTTTGGAGACATTTGATAGCCTGTAAAATAATTAAGAAATGTTAATAAATTGAGTGCGCAGTGACACTTGGATGTCACGTCGCAGTAGCACGCGCGTCTAACTAGGATTCTCCGCCTCCGCGAACATTGAAGCATCAAACCCGAGCCAACTGAACTCGACACCTTCAACTAGGGGATTCTCGCCTTGAGACAACTGTTGCGCCTTCTTCGTTTCTGTAACATATTATATGGTTAAGCAGACTCGATGCCACCACGATCCCGCAATGTGACGTCCAACGCCGTCTCCGAATCCTCCCCTCAAAGCCCGAGAAGAAGCGACCCAACGAAGAACAAAAAGAGAGACATTGACGAGCTGCAAGAGCAGGGCTCTCCGCTGAGGCGATCCAAGCGCTTCAAGTTGACCGAGGCATTAAAAGCCTCGCCAGCCCCGGGCCAATTGGAAATCATCGACGGTCCATCTGCTGTCGATTTGAGGCAAAAGAAGCCGGTAGTGTCTCCAAAAAAGAGGAAATCACAGCCTAGAGTTTCGGTAAAGGAAGAAATCGAGGAGGAGATTGAGATAACCGTTGATACGAAGGTGGAAAAAGGAAGTCAGGCAAAGCCAGACAACGCAGACGAGACCACTACAGTGACGGGAAAGATCTCGAGAAAGAGGAAGACCAAGCGGGGAAAGGAGATCGAGATGCTCCCTCTGAGAGCTAGAACACAAGGTGTACGCATGTGCGTGGGGGCCCATGTCAGTGCCGCAAAAGGTTGATTCCTCCTCTGTCACTCAGCACGCATTGCCTGGCAGAGCTAATCATATCCATGACGTTAGGAGTTTTTAATGCCGTGCATAACAGCATGCACATTGGGTACTATAAGAGGATTCTGGCCGATTGAGTGTGAATTCTGGCTGATGTGCCCTCTAGTGGTAATTCATTTGCCCTCTTCCTGAAGTCGCAGAGGAAATGGGAGAACCCTCCCCTGCAAGATGATCATCGAGATCAGTTCCGTCAGATGTGTCTGGAACACAAGTATGACGGCGCAAAGTAAGTACACAGGGCCATGGTACTTTATTGACCTGACAATACTGACCAGGCACAGGCACATACTCCCACACGGCTCATATCTCGTAAACCTAGCACAAGAGGACAAGGTCAAGGCCAAGCAGGCATACGATTCATTCCTAGACGATCTCCGACGCTGCGAAGCGCTTGGAATCACCCTCTACAACTTCCAGTTAGGCTCAGATCACCACCACCGAAACCAACCCGGCCGTTCACTAACCATCCTATAGTCCCGGAAGCGCCAACCAAAGCAGCCTCCCAGACGCCCTCTCAAGGCTCGCCAAGGCCCTGACCAACGCCCTCGAAGCCACCTCAACCGTCGTCCCCGTCCTCGAGACGATGTGCGGCCACGGCACCACAATCGGCGGCTACCTCCCCGAGTTCCGGGATCTCCTGGCCCTGATCCCACGCGAGCACCACCCCCGGATCGGCATCTGCATAGACACCTGCCACAGCTTCGCAGCAGGATACGACCTCTCCTCGCCAGCAGGCTACCAGTCCTTCATGAAGGAATTCGAAGACCAAATCGGCCTGCAGTACCTCCGCGCCCTGCACCTCAACGACTCCAAAGCCCCACGCGGCAGCAAACGCGACCTCCACGCCAACATCGGCACAGGCTTCTTGGGTCTTCGCGCCTTCCACAACATCATGAACGACCCGCGCCTCGAAGGCCTCCCCATGATCCTCGAGACGCCCATCGACCGCCCCGCCAACCCAACCCCTTCCAACGTCAAGGACGAACCAAGTGACGCTGAGGGTGACGTCGACGCTGACTCGGAACCTGAGGCCGAACAAAACCGCAAGAAAAAGACCCCCAAGCGGAGCAAGTCCAAACCCGCCGGCGCGAAAGCTCTCGTCCCGGACCCGTCCGTCTGGGCTCGCGAAATAGCCCTCCTCGAGTCCCTCATCGGGATGGACCCCGAAAGCCCTGAGTTCAAGACCCTCGAGACCCAGCTCGCCGAGGAGGGCCGCGAAGTCCGCGCGAAACACCAGGAGCAGTATGAGCGGAAGCTGGCGGCTGAAGAGAAGAAGAAGAATAAAGCTGCGGGGGGCGGCAAGGGCCAGAAGACGTTGATGGAGATGGTGCAGACCTCGGGGAAGAAGAGGAAGGGGGCTAAAAAGCGGGCTGAGAGCGAAAGCGAGAATGAACTAGAGAGTGAGGATGAAGGATGTCAGAGCCATTGATTACCGCGGTTTGCCCGTGGCTCTTATGTACTACGTACTATCACCGAATCCGAGCGAATGGGATTACGCATGATGCTATTTAAGAAAATTGATGGTTGGAAATTATGCTGCCATTACTTGGACTCTGATAGAGCGAGGTATCAAACAATATCACGTTGCGACCATGGGTATTGTCATGCGAGATCTCAAACTAACTAAGGAATCAAGACCAATAGGCCAACTCGGAGGATATATAGACAGCATTGTCAAAGTAATCATTGGTATCACTCGAAAACGAAAACAGAAGCATCCCCTCAACATAGGACGACAATTGCAAATATGTGCACGAGCTATTCGCAGCTCGATCATCTATACCTCCCCACGAGTTCGATGACAGAAATCTAGTGATGTCCACCGTGTATATCAATGACGATACCCAGGATGACCATCTGACCACCGCCCTTCTCCTGTCCCGCTAGTTCCAGACTGACAGGATGGGAAGATTTGCAGGATACACCTTGGACACAGGCAGAAGCCGAGAACACGGACTTGAAACCAAACCAGTGGCTTCGATAGAAGCGTCGTACAATCCAAGTCGCTCCTGGTCAAGGTCTTTATCCTGACACTGCCCGGTCGGTGGACGGCTGCAAGTTCCCTCCAGCGCTGGGGCCTCGTCCCACCCGGGGCGGAAATTGGGAGTCGGCGGTCAGGACTACCGGCGGTGCGGACTTGAGCGGAGACGGACCGGCCAGACGTGGGGAGAACGGACGACTCTCGCTATCGCTCAGATTTCCCGTGGAAATTGTGAGTCCATGAATGTTGCTACTGGCCCCGCTGGCCCTCACTTGGAACGAGCGCCGATCGCCAATCAAGCCATCGACAGGAGCGGGATTGTCACCTGTAGGCACTTGCGACACCGGAGTGACTATGCTGGTTTCCGGATCGCTAATTCTGTGATACGTTCCACGCGAACGGGAACGAGCACGACCGGAGTCGTCACTTTCCGAGTCCAGGTTCGGGCTGCGCTCCCAGGTGCCTCGTCGTGCCTCGGAACGCATCTTGGAAATCTTCATGTAGTTGTAGCAACCAATACTGGCAATGGTAATAAGCAAGCCCGCAATATTGACCGCGGTCAATTGGTCATGGAACACGACGCCTGCTGCACTGATCGTAATGACTTCCTTGAAGATGCCACAGATACTTAGTGTGACAACGGAGGAGCGTTTCAGCAGAGCGAACTCGGCTGAGATCATGCAAAAGGCCAGCACACCGGGGAAGATTAGCAGGAAGACGGCAAAGACGCCGCCATGAGTCTCTGACAGAGCGGCAAAGCCGTCGGCGATCTTGGCAGGGCCTTCAACAGTCAGAGCGATGATAATCAGCGAGACAAACATGACGGGAGTGAGGAAGAAGAGGGTGGAGAAGGGGTTGGATGTAGCCGGATGCCTCAGGAGTAGAATCTGAGTCAGTCCCCAGCGGAAACCCGAAAAGAAGGCGGAGGCGATGACTAGAGCGAAGCCCACAGCATTGAAGGCTGTTTCTCCGGCGACCATCATGACCACGCCGACGGTCATGGTGGCTATGACAAAAATCAACTTGACGGAGGGCGTCTCCAGTCGGAAAATGAAAGCGAAGAGAAGGACGAAGGCGAGAGCGGAGGATTTGCACATGGTGAGGAAGGTGAGGGAAATAAACTTGAGGGACATGTTGCCCAGCCCGATGTCGAGGGACGTCGCTGCGCCGCAGGGAACGAGCCGGGTGAGGTAGAAGAGTTTGGTGAGTATGGGAGTCGATTCGGAGGCATCATGACTGCTTCTGAACGGTGAACCGGACGAGGTGGATGAAGGGTGTCGCGGGCGCAGCGCTGGGATCAACCAAAGAATGAAGGACGCGAGACTGAACTGCACCAGCATATGCAAGCTAGTCGTAAAGAGAGGAAAAGGAAACACAACACGGTCTTCTGAGAACATCCATTTGTTGTACTAGTTGACCAGAGGGAAAAGAGTCAGTATGCAAAGTCTAGAGTCGGCTTCTCCCCGCAAAAGACAGGGGTCCGGGATGATGGATTACTTACAACGGAGATCGACAAGGAAAAGAAGTACCACAAGAGGATGAGACACGCATTGACGAGCAGTCTCTTGACGACGTTCCGATCTGCTAAACCCATTGAGAGGATATCATATCGGGAGGACTTGACATCAGCTATGCGAGCATCCAATTGCCTCCGTTGTTTCCTCCGTCGGCGTCTCTGACGTCGTTGTTTCGCTGTGAGACCCGTTTCTTCATCATCGTGGAGCTCATCGTCAGAGCTCACATAATCCATCTCCACACTTTCTGCGATTGAAGACAGGTCGGAGACGTCTGCGTCATCGGCCGTCAAGGGTTTCTGTTCGTCGCGCTTGTAGTTGACCACCTCGCCAATGGCTCTGGAATGATCCTCCCTCTGTTCGGTCGGGGCGGCCAGCGATGAGGGACCTGCGCCTGTGAGGACGGAGCTTCGACGTCGATGGTGGCTTCCAGCCGGCGATAGCCCCATTTTGTAAGGTTATATGTAGAGGTAAAACGGGAGACAGGAGAATAAACAAGGGAAAAGGGAAAAGAGAGACACAGCGAGGGAGGAAAAGACGGATCTGCTAGGGCGCAGTGGAATCCATCAGCGATTGATAAATAAATAAACGCGAGGATTTTGCCCCAGTGGATGACAGTCGGATTGAATGAGATCACAGCTGGAGAGCTCGAGGGAATTGATAAGGGCACAAAGGAATGCAGAGTCGAAGATCGATTGATCTGACAGGTCTCGTGGGAGTTGCAGGGATATCGACAGTTTTCCGGATGGCAGAATGAATGATAATACTGACAAAAAGATTGCTCACAGGAGGAGCAAGATGGGAGCAAGGAAAAAAGAAAACAAAAAGGAAAGGAATAAATGCAAACCAGGACGAAAGGGGTAAAAATGAGAGATATTGCAGGTAGGCAAACTTCTTGTCGTAGATGCAGAGAAAGAAAAAGGGAAGACACCGCCCCGACTTGATGCAAGGGCGCGATGGGTTGGGATGGGGGAAATAATGAAGTTTAATTAGGATCAAAAGAGGAGGAAGAGTGAGATGCTAAGGTACCTAGAGGAGATAGATAGATAGATCTAGTTTACAGTCATCAATCAGGATCATGCCTAACTAACTGACCTTTGACTAGTTTATCTACTTTTGATTCTGCTTTTGCTCCATAGTTATCTGCCCAATTATTATTCTAGTCTAGTTTACTCCATACTTCTGCACCGATTGTTAATTCCACTCTGCAATATCAACAAGTTGTGTGAGTTGATCAACAGACAGCAGCCCCCAGATCCAAAGTTTAGGGAGGAGTGAGGGGTCAGGTAACTTTTGGCTGATGATCCCATAAAAAAGGTACCTTGGGCCGGACATCCTCCACAGTCCATAGTTATCAATAACCATGATGACATCCATGATCTATGACAAAAGACAAGAGATCTGCGACAAAACAGGTATATTCGGATACTGACTGGAGTAAAGACAGTCATGGAATAATGACTCTCCTCTGCCTGTGATACCTCGCTGATAAGAACTGACTCTTGGCTGCTTTAGCCCCCCTGTTAGTCTTGCCTAGGAAGAGTCTAGTAGTTGGGTCCGCCTGACCCTAGATTCCTTTTAACCTCCCTGTAAGAGCCCCCGAAATCTCTGATAATGCACGGAAGTTGTGCCTTGTGGATGAAAATCCTGTAGGGTCATCATTTACTCCGTACTGTTGGTCCTTTCCGGACGATCCGGGGTTAAGTATCCTTATCATTCTTCATGATCCTTATGATCCTTAGTATCCTTCCTCGATGCATAGGAAGAATGGATCCGAAAGGCTGAAAGACAATCCAGTCTTCCAGACCAGCCCATGGATATCTAGGATCTGATCAATTGCCTATTTACCTAACCATGAAGAATGTCTCAACTGATTAATAATAAGAATGCGGTCAATATTAATATTGATCCTGGTGGATTGATGGACTTCTTCTCAGCCACAATTGGTGGATGCCATGTCCGAGGCCGATACTCCATACTCCCATAAACCCAAGCCCTACAACTTGTGCAATGATGATGAAGGCCATGATATCACAGTCTGGACTAAATGCAGGGATTATACAGGTCTTTGACAACCTTGATGACATTGCATCCTGATTGATAATGAAATTAACTTGAAATTACCAAGATTAACTAAGAGGGACTTGCATATAGAAATGGAAGAAGAAGAGACGGTGAGAAGTCACGGGAGCAAGGGTAAGTCATTATTCTTGGCAAGTCGAAGGTGTACTCCAATGCTCCTTTGAAACCCCGATATTCATCTCCAAGGCTGGACTCTTCCAGCCCAAATAAACAACCTCCAACCGGGGATGTATGATCTATCACATACTGGATGAAACTCAATGAGCTTCGGATGTGCCTATGATTCGGTGCATTCGAGTCTTCCACCGTGATGGTTCAATTCCATCATATCTGGCGCTGGAGCTTCCCATGGCCAGGCTCTCTCCTTCATAGTACAGTCCCAATAGCAGAAAGCAGAAGCTAATCACGATCATGACCGCCGTCATCATCATCATGTCGTTACTATGTCCAGAAGAACAAGGGATGAAATAATCCTTAGATGGATATTACGAGACGGGTTGGCCCTATCCGGGCCCCTCATCAGCTTCTTCCATCCTCTGTGCTGTCTAGCAGCTCCAGTCATTGCAGACACGCAATAGCTGAATTAAATAGTCAAGAGAATTGCCATTATCATCAACTACGTCCCTGGATCTCTGAGGACACCCGTCTCCCTGATCATCGTCATGGCCACTAGCTACAATGCCATAGAAGACTATGGGCTCATCGGGGACATGCACACCTGTGCCCTTGTGAGCAAACAGGGCAGCCTTGATTACATGTGCTGGCCTGTCTTTGACTCTCCGAGCATCTTCTGCCGCTTGCTAGACACCCAGAAAGGGGGCTACTTCAGCGCTTGCCCGCCTGCGTCTGCCCCCAATATCCTCAATAAGCAGCGGTACCTGCCGTACTCCAATATGCTTGAGACCCGATGGACCAACGAGGATGGCGTGGTGACTATGCTGGACTACTTCCCCGTGGCCCCCAAGAAGAGCGCCCAGTCAACCAGGATCTTGTCCGGGTATTGTCCCTGCAACGAGCCAGGGGTCAACCGGTTCAAGTCCGGGTTGCGGCACTCCGGCGTGGTCAGGAAGCTGGACTGCAGCCGGGGAAGTATGGACTTGCAAGTGGAGCTCTTCCCCGCGTTCAACTACGCCCGGGACACCCACGCCACCCGGTGCAAGCTCAACGACGATCTGAGCAAGCATCAACTCCAGACTGTCCACTTTGAGAGTGACACGGAGAAACTCCAACTGGAGATCTTCGCCCATTCCAAGCAGGTCGAGAAGGTGGGATTTCCCCAGGTGAAGTTCAGCATCGAGGACAAGCCAGGCATGCAGGGCCGCGGCCTGGTCGCTTGGATCAAACTGTCACAGGGCCAGAGCATGACCTTTATCATCCACAGCCCCGAGAAGATCCTGCCCAGCGACGCCATGATGGAAGCCTACCTCGACAAAATGGAGGAGGAGACGTTCGACTACTGGACCGGGTGGACCCGCCAATGCACCTTCCGCGGTCACTACCGGGAAACCGTGGAGAGGAGCCTGCTCATTCTGAAGTTATTGACGTACAAGCCCACGGGGGCCATCGTGGCGGCGCCCACCTTTTCCTTGCCGGAGAACGTGGGCGGCGGCCGCAACTGGGACTACCGGTACTCCTGGGTCCGGGACACGGCCTTCACCCTCTACGTCTTCCTCAAGATGGGCTACAGCGAGGAGGCGGAGGCGTACGTGAACTTCATCTTCGACCGGATCTTCCCGCACGCGCAGCACGAGGCCGGGCCGGGCTCGAAGCGGCCCTTCCTGCCGCTCATGTTCACCATCCGCGGCGAGTACGAGATCCCCGAGGTGGAGCTGACCCATCTGGAAGGGTACAAGTGCAGCAAGCCCGTGCGCATCGGCAACGCGGCCGTCTTCCACACGCAGCTGGACATCTACGGCGAGCTGCTGGACAGCATCTACCTGTATGACAAGCACGGCAACCCAATCACCTACGACCAGTGGCTCGCGATCCGGCGCATGGTCAACTACGTGATCGAGGTGCGTCACGAAAAGGACATGTCCATCTGGGAGTCCCGCGGCCAGATCCAGAACTTCCTCTACTCCAAGATCATGCTCTGGGTGGCGCTGGACCGCGGCGTGCGCCTCTGCGAGAAGCGCTCCAGCCTCCCCTGTCCGGACCGCCTCAAATGGATCCAGATCCGCGACGAGCTTTACGACGAGATCATGGAGCGCGGCTACAACTTTGACCGCGGCCACTTCACCCAGAGCTACGAGAGCCGCGACGTCCTCGACGCCGCCGTCATGATCGCCCCGCTCGTCTTCTTCTGCCCGCCCAACGACCCCCGCTTCATCAGCACCCTCGAGAAAATCCTCCAGAATCCCAATGAGCAGGGCCTCTCCAGCGCAAAGATGGTCTTTCGCTACGACCACGAGAAAGCTCGCGACGGTACCTTCCCATCCCTCCTCCCATCTCATTCTTACCCCATCACTAACCAAACACAACAGGCGTCGGCGGCCGCGAAGGCGCCTTCATCATGGTCACATTCTGGCTCGTCGAAGCCATGGCCCGCGTAGGTTTTCCTGTCTTATCACTCCCCTCATCAGCTACTAAGAAGAGGAACCAAAACAGGCCGCAAAATACAACGTGCCCATCCCGAACCTCTGGAAACTCGCCCTCGCCCACTTCGACAATATCCTCTCCTACTCGAACCACCTGGGCATGTTCTCCGAGGAGGTCGCCATCTCCGGCGAGCAGATGGGGAATACCCCGCAGGCGTTTAGCCATCTGGCCTGTATCAGTGCGGCGCTCAATCTGGAGAAGTTGGGTCGGGATCAGGATGAGCAGAATTCTGCTTAGTTTTAATTTGTGGTTGCCGGGGGGTGGTGTTGGTTTCGTATGGTTTGGAGGTTATTCATTCTTAGACGTTCCGCAGGTTGATTTTAGGTTCTTTAGTTTTCACAGGCTAGAAGCAAAATAGGATTGTTCTCTTCTCTTTACTCTAGGAGCAATTGAATTGTTCGTTCGTAAGGTCACTTTGTTTGGGCAGGTCTACCAGCCAGGGACACTTGCATCCTATTCCCTCCCCGACCACCCTGCCTTCATAGGAACTGAGACAGCTCAGCATTCAGCGAATTCTTCACTGTATATTGTTGTCCGTTGCTTATTTCGTTTTCCACATCCCCGCCTTCTATCTGTCTGGTTAAATGCATTATGTCGTCCAGGCCCTATTCTCCCGCAATATGCTTGCTCTATTTTGGCGCGACAGGTGGTTTCACCCCACATACCTTCGCCTTGATTAAGCCTAGGGAGTGAAACTCTGAAATTCAGATCCACGTCAACCCCCTTTCCTCTGCCCAGCAGCACCAGGCCCCGGTGAAGGACTTGCACT